TTATCTAAAAAGCTGGACTATATGAAGAAAAGGAAGCTTTAGTGGCCAAATGCATAAGAAGCTGTGATGTCAACAGAAAGGGAGGCAATTCAAATCCACCAGCTGCTCCAAGAGAAAGATAGGCAACTTCTTCTCATATATTTTATAGCCTCTGGAAACCTGCGGGAGGGTCAGCCACAACGCAACAGCAATGAGTGTTATGAGGAAGAATATGGCATCAGGATTGGGGAAGACTCATAAGCAACCTGAATTATGCACATGACACAATCTTGCTTAAAGAAAGTGAAGACAACTTGAAGCACTTACTGCAGGAGGTCAAAGACCACATCCTTGAATATGGATTATATCTCAACAGTAAAAAATTTAAAAATCCTCATCACTAAGTCATCATCCCAATCGATACAGAAAAGACTTAAGTTGTCAACTATTTAAATTTACTTGGATTCACAATCAACACATATGGTAATAGTAGTTAAGAAATGTCCTGTCAAGAAAGACTTTCTTCAAGTGCCAAAAAGCAAAGATTACTTAGTGTAAAATCTAAGATGGGCCTCATCTAAGCCATGGCATTTTCAACTGCTTCTTATGCAACTGAGTTGGACAACGAACATGGAAGACTTAAGAATTTATGTCTATGATCTGTGGTGTTGGAAAAGAGTACTAAATAATCTATACACTGAGAAAAGAAAAAACAAGTATGTCTTGAAGGAAGTTCAGTTAGAATGCACCTAAGAGGGAAGGATGGTGAAACCTTGTCTCATATACTTTAGACATGTTTTCAAGAGGGGCCGCTTCTTGGAAAGACATCATGCTGGGAAAGGCACAGGGTCACAGAAAGTCAGGAAGATCATCAATGAAATGGACACAGTGACTGCCACAATGGGCTTATGCTTGACAGAGATTTTGAGGATGGTGCAGGATAGGACAACATTCACGGGGTCAATATGATGCATACTGGACTCAATTGTACCTGACAACATTAACACCATAGGACACTCAGAACGTAATCAATCTCCATAATAGTCTATGTGTTTTCTACTGCCAAAGGGGCCCTTTAGAGTAGTGAGAGAAGACCTTCACCCTGAAACCCACAGCGTCCCTTTT